GCTTTCTGAGGCCTTAGCCGAGGACCCAGCTGTCTTCCTAGACTTGTGATCTACAGAAACGGCGGTCATAAATATGTGTTGTTTTAAGCCACTAAGCTTGTGGTAATCTGTAATGCAGGAATAGGAAACAAATACACGCTTTGTCAAATGGTCTAGAGCGAGCAGTTCTCAAAGTGTGGTTCCTGAAGGTCCCCGAGACCCTCCTCACAGGGAGTCTGTGAGGTAAAAACTATTTTCATAATAATGCTAAGATGTTATGTACCTCTTTCCCTGTCTTGAACATTTGCACCAATGGTGCAAAAGCGATGGTGGGCAAACTGCTGGAGTCTCAGTTCCTGTCAAGAAGGTGGTGCCACACTTTGGCAGAGGCCATTTTATTTTTCTCCATCACACCCTTTGAGGAAAGAACATGCGGTTTCACCTAAGGATGTTCTTGGTGGAGCAGAAAAATTAGCAGTTTTATTACATCTTGACCCTTAAGTCTATGTCTTTTTCATATGCTGGGTGACAGAGCACAAAGACCTCACACAGCACGCTTGCTGTCTTCCAACCGAAGACGCTTGCCTCAAAGACGCGTGCGCCTTCGTGTTGTATCCTCGATGGGCTGCTTTTTTTGTTTTGTTTTGTTTTTTCTCCACAGAACACCATTTTTACTTGGAAAACAAAAAGACTGACATAAACTAGAGTTACTCGGATGTGGGTATTTGGGAGATACTTTCTTGAAAATGAAGGAAATGCATCTGTCATTTCAACAAAAACAACTGACAGTGTTTGTTGCCAGTGAAAACATTTGAGCTTTCTAGCAAAGATTAGAATGTTGGAAAACCTAAGTCTGCCGCTATAATTTGACAGATTCTCAATACTTTGTCTGAGGAGATAGGCAGTGTTATTATACAACAAAAGAAAGTGACTTGTTTTTTTGGTATTTCAAAATAAACTATGTAAGCATTTGGAACATCTAAATCAGTGAGCGGGTCAATATTTTCCAAGTGATCAGTGTGTGATGTTACAAAGTCACGCATGGGTACAAGAACGTTGAAAATGCCAGGAAGGGTTTTTGATAGGGTTTCACGTTCGACATTGCAACTAACCTTTAAGAAACTACCACTTCTTGAGATGTGCTGTGGTGAAAAGAATTTGCACAATTATCTGAGAAAGCTGAAAGCCCCCCTCCCTGTACCAACTACATAGCCATGCAAGGCTAGATTTTCCTTGTTGTACTTCAACCCAAAACATCATTACACAGCAGGGTGAATTTAGAATCAGATATGAGAATCCAGCTGGCATTTATTAAGCAAGATGTACAATGCTGCTTGCCTCACTATTTTTTGTCTTTGAAAATTCATTCATTCATTCATTCATTCATAATCTCTACACCCAACGGAGGGCTCAAACTCACGATCCTGAGATCAAGAGTTGCATGCTTTTCTGAATGAACCAGCAGGTGCCCTGAAAATATAGTTTTTTATGTTATTTTATTTTGAAATATAGTTAAAAAATTTTTTTTATCGTTATTTTATTTTTGAGGGAGAGAAACAGAGAGTAAGCAGGGGAGGGGCAGAGAGAAAGGGAGACAGAATCTGAAGCAGGCTCCAGGCACTGAGCTGTCAGCACAGAGCCTGACGCGCGGCTCGAATTCACGAACCACGAGATCATGACCTGAGCCCAAGTCGGTCACTTAACCGACCGAGGCACCCAGGTGCCCTGAAATACAGTTTTTAAAATAAAAATATTTTCTTTATGTTAATGTGTAATGGGTATATTAGTGTCATGTAAATGAGCTAGTAAATATATTTTAAGATTCAATTTCAAATTGCAGCAAATGTCGATAGATATAAACCACAGAAATAAAATATCTGTGGGTTGTCCAGGAATTTTGGAGTGTACGTTGTCTACTGAGGCCCAGTGGGGGGCAGACCACACATGGATAGAACTCAGTGGTTCCAAACTCACCCTCCCAGCCAATTTAAGCTCAGAGATATTTCTCCTTTGCCTCTTACAGTTTGGTCCTTGTTGTATTTAAAACAATTGTTGGAGTTTGAATGAATTTGCCACATTGACAAATTGCTAAGTTTTATGTGAAAGATCACATTTTCCAATTCTTTTGAGAACCTGAGGGACTGGCTGCATTGCTTTCACACTTGTGCCAGGGCCCTGGAGCTATGCCCTTTTGTGGACACGTGCTTTCTAGTTTCTCTCCATCCTCGCCACACTCTTCTCTTTATGTCCCTTGTTTTAACCTGTTCCTCCTCAGTCACTCACATGGCTTGCTCAGCTCCTGGGAGCATTCGTGTTTGTCATATCTGATCTACATGGTCTCCTTGGTGGCAGGAAATTGGGAAGACCTGAGTATCCTGAGTCTCTTCCACGGCTCCCAGGGGGATGTTATATCACAAGATGCCAAGAGCCCACATCAAGAGGCTGAGATACTAGGTGACCCAGAGAAATTTCTGAAATGGAGGCAAAGGTCAAGTTTTAAGCCTCATTCTCTGAAATGTCCTAAGTATCTACTGCTTAATATGGCAAGTGGGCAGGTATAGTGCCAGGAGATAGCTGAAATTGGGATTAGGAAATGGGCTCGAGAGCCATGGGGCACGTGGGTGGCTCAGTCGGTTAAGCTTCCGACTCGATTTTGGCTCAAGTCATGATCTCATGGTTCGTGAGATCTCTGTGGCTCAGTTTTCTTATCTGCAAAATGAGACTAGTAAGATTATCTACCTCATACGGCTTTTGGGAGAATTAAATGAGATAGTATGTGGCAAGCACTTGGGATAGGACCTGGCACCAGTAAGCCTTCAATGACTGTTAGCTACTATTTCCATTCTTCTTTTGAGTCGGGCTTCAGTCTGGCTATGAAAATTCAAGTAAGCTGTCATCAGGTTCTGCCAGGCAAACTAGACTCTGTACTTGTCACCCTACCTCACAGATCCCAGGGATCCTGACATGAATGTAACAGATCCCAACAGATATTTGAGAATGACATGATTAACAGCCATATCCACTTAACTCACCTGTTAAATCTACAATAGATTTGAGATCAATCACGAGGCACATTAACAAGTCCATTCATTCATTCGTTCATTCGATTAGTCATCTCTTTATTCATTAAATATCTATGGACTGCTTATTACTATGTTCTAGGCACATCGACATGGAAGCACATCTGATGACAGAAACCACCATCGGATAATTCTGTACAATAGGGCCTTAATAGTTGAATCCTTGTTTGTCAAAAACAATGATCCATGTGTTTCTACGGGACTGTGAAAGAGCGAGTCCTAATCTGAGGCTGTGTCATCTACATGAAATAAATCACTGCTAGCAAATTGCCTGGAAAAGAGAAACACGACTAAAACTCTTAGAAAAAATTCTGTAAGTACTCAATTTATTCATAAAACAATACAGTTTAAATATTTATGATTTTTTTTCAGTCATACATTTTTTTAACCATCATTCCCAAAATGTTGTGCATTTGGCTGACATGTATTTGCAAAGTGAGGATCTATAATTATAACACTGGAGATCATACAAGGCATTTGATTTGCTTATTAGTACTTCCTCCCGCAACAAACAACAAACAGATCTATTTTGCCTTGTGATTTACTTCCCCAATGCTCTGACCAAAAATAAGTTCCTCCTTGTGCCTTTTATACCTGTAAAACATTTGTCCATTTCTCTGTGAGAACATTAGACACGGGAAACATTCGTTCTGGTTCAAGACTGGCCGGTTTCTATCAAAACAAAACACCTCCACACAGAACAATGATTCTAGGCATTTCTGCTGGTAGAATTTGCTCTCAGGAGTGATAAAAAGAGGCAGTCAGAAGCCCCACACTAAGCTTAAAGATCAGCTCGGTGGGCCAAGTTTCTGGAGAACCATACTGCATGGCCATTGGCCATGAACAAGTTTCCATTGTTGTGGTCCCACTGAAGACTCTGAGGTCTCTCCTAGGGATTGACATAAAAATGGAACCATTCCTGTTGAGGTCGTGTGATGCCTCCTTTAAGAGGGCAGGGGCTGGCAAGGAGGAACCCTCCCCAGTCTTTTTAAGGAAGAGGAGTGACTATAAAGCAGTGAGACTGATTTGGGGTATGCAGCTTCTGGAATCAGTTTCACTACTTTCTATTCCCACCTCGGAGACAGGCAGGACTTTTGTGCTACCGGCAGGGGACAAGTGCCCTTCGCAAGCAGACGAGGTGCTTCCCTGTTTCAGACGGTCTCTAGGATGATACCCCAAAGCCTAGAACCTCAGTACTCTTCAGTGTAGACTGCAATGGCATCACCTGGGACCTTGTTAGAGATGCAGAATCTTGGGTCCTGTGGACCTGTTGCACCAGTCTGAATTTTAACAAGATCCTCAGGTAGTCTGTGTGCACAGTCAAGTCTGAGAGGTGCTGGGCTGAGAGGTGCCCCAGACCCACTTCTAGAAGTCTATGTCTAGGTGGATGAACCTTTTCTTCAGCAAAGAGACCGTTATTAGCAGGGAGGGATTATAGATAACAACTGCAAAAAACAGTGTGGTTTGTTTGTTGGTTTGTTTTTATTTTAAACATGCAAAATACAGTCCATGCATCTGCCATTTTGAAAAGTCTCTCATCCCGTAGCAGATAAAACCAAATATGTTTTGGCTATCGACGTTCGGTAAATGTTTCAAAATGCTTCACAGTGTAAAGATAATAAGAAATTTAGCAAAATTTCGACAAACCTGTATAAAAAACGGATACAGACAACATTTTATTTCAAGGCGACATGCTATAATGTAAAGAGTAAGTTACAATTATTTGTGTTTCCTTGTAAAAAGTCTTTGACGATACAAGAGCTTAACAGATCCAGGCCTCAGGGCTACACATGCAAAAAAAATTGTCAGTTAGTTAAAAATCACCCAAACGTGCTATTTTTTAAATGTGTATGTGTGTGTGTCTTTTTAAGTACAGGAGTAGTAGAAGTATTAAATGTTATCAGGAATAGTGTTTCAGAACTCTGGAAAAGCGTGCGGAGTTCACGGCGCTAGTGTTCTGGAAGACTCATACATTTCCGATGAACATTTTGGCTTAATCCCTTTGCCATTGTAATAGTCCACGACTTGATTTGGGACTTCGGCCAACACACTCTTTGCCAGGGCAGCTGGAGATGCCTGCAGGGAAGAAGAAATCACCGTGACTTTGGCACCTGGCCCAAGGAATCTGATCCAGAATCAGCCTACAAGACTGCAGTCTTGCTCTGAGCTGCTACCCTCTCTCTCTCATTCATTCATTCATTCATTCAATCGATATTTGTTGATCATCTACTCCAAGCAAGAGAGTTGTTAGATTGTTGGAAAATGAACCTTTCATTTAATAATTATATTTTTCATGCCTGTCTCAAAATATAAAGCTATCCACAGCTGAAGACGGGTGAAAGTTGGACAGCAGAATGAATTGTCTTTAAGTTTGGTTCCCAAGTTGTGTTCAAGTCCAGGCACGATGCCAGGGTTTATAAGAGTTTGTGGTTCTTGCCATTAAAGGAGGTATAATCATGACAGGGGAGCCTGGTGTGGCCAAAATGAACTCTACTGTGAGTGTGAACATGGTACATGCCACAGAACAACAGCACGTTACATGGGAGCTTAATAGAAACGTACAACGTTAGAACCATCCCAGAGCTACTGAATCATCATCTGCATTTTAACTTGGTGCCTGTAGGGTGATTCCTATGTGAACTGAAATTTGGGAAGCACTGTTCTAGAGTCATTAATGTTCTGGGACGAGAGCACAGAAAATGAAAAGACCAAGTCATATTAGAGGAAATCACAGCAGACTTCCAAGAGGAGGTGGGATTTAAGTTAGGCATGTTTTAAAATGTAGAGAAGAAGGGGAATGATGTTTGATCATTCTAGGGACAGGGAGTCATCTGATGGGGCTGAAAGAAGTGTGTGTGTGTGTGTGTGTGTGTGTGTGTGTGTGTGTGTTGGGGATGCAGGATTGTTGGAGTATTCTGTTGGAAGATAAGCTTGAGGCCAGGTGACGGAGGGTCTTGAATACCACTAATTAATGTAGTCTTATTCTGTCAGCAGTATGGTCCCCCTGTATGATTTGGGGCAGAGGAAGGTGGAGGTTGGTATTCTGCATGGACTCTGGAGTCATACAGAGCTGGATCTGACCTCCGGCTCTGGCATTCAGTACTAACTTTCCAGCCTCCGGGCAAATAAAATTGCCCTAGTCTCATTATTAGCTATTATTGAACTTGAAAACTTGAAGCCGAGGGACCAGTTAACGAGTGCTTGAGATTCCTCTCAGCAAAGGAAAGAAAGAGGGTTCGACTAAATGCCCAATGACCTGGTTTCTTGCTCTTTCCTTCCTCTGTGGCTTGCCACTCAGCCATTCAACTTGGCTGAGCCCCTGTGTTCTTGGAGACAAAACAGCAAAGAATAGGGATTGGTTTTATCTCACACAGTTTTGAGGAGGCTCAAAATAGAGACACATATCTTGAAAACATGATGGGGAATTTTTCTAAAGTGACCTCTCACATTTCAAAGATGTCTTAGCATGTTGGGCACCTGACATCTGTGAATGCTCAGTTTATAAATGTCTGCTCAGGGTTGTGTGTTACAGCATGGTCCACATGTACACTGGGGTAACTATGAAAGTCATTCCTACTGTAGTTTACTCTCTGGCCACATGTCATATAAAGGCTAGAAAGCCAAATACTTAATTTCCCAGCCTCCCTTGAACCTAAGGATGCCCATAGGCCCCAGTTTTGTCCTTTGAGACATAAGGATGTTTCTTGGAAAGCTTTTTTTTTTTTCCTGATTAGAGGGCACAGACATAATAGGCTTTGTTTCCCTTTCCTCTTCTTTTTTTCTTTGAACTAGAATGTAATTCCTGGAGCTACGGCAACTGTTTTATCATCACGAGACAACAGCAAGGGGAATCACCAAGTGCTTGTCCTGATGCTGTCAAATCACTGAAAAAAAGATGTCAGCAGCTGCCAGTCCTAACTTCTCGTTACAGAAGAACAATGTATTTGTATTTACACAATCCAGAGTCTCTCAATTTTGGCACTATTGCTATTTTGGGCCAGCTAATTCTTGGTGTGGGGAACTGTCCTGTGCATTGTGGGATGTTTAACAGCACCCCTGGCCTCTACCCACTACCTGCAAGTAGCACCCAAAACTGTCACTATCATAAGTGTCTCCAGATGTTGCCAAAGTTGTCCCTGGTTAAGAACCACTTGTGTAATCCCCTGTTAAGATGAATTTGCTGTTATTTGAAGACAAAGATATCCCTAACTAATGCTGGCAAGTAGAACTTTGTACAATGATGGAAATATTCTATATCTGCACTGTCCAGTATGGCAGTCACTAGACTCATGTGATTATCGAGCCCTTGAAATGTGGCTGGTGTGAATGAAAAACTGAATTTTAAATTTTATTTAAAATTTATTTAAATTAATTTAAACAGCTGCATGTGGCTATTTGTCACTGTATTAGCACAGTTTTTTTTTAAAGTTTATTTATTCACTTTGAGAGAGAGAGAGAGAGAGAGAGAGAGAGAGAAAGCATGAGTGGGGGAGGGGCAGAGAGAGGGAGAGAGAGAGAATCCCAAGCAGGCTCTGCACTGAAAGTGCAGACATGGGGTTTGAACCCATGAACCTTGAGATCATGACCTGAGCCAAAGTCAGACGCGTAACCTACTGAGCCACCCAGGCGCCCCTAGACAGCACAGTTTTTAAATGACTCTCCCATTCTTTTGCATATCTGGGCTGGCTCTGGTGGCTCTGGTGAGCGGTTAGGGCTTGAGGGCATGATCTGGTTGGGAAAAGGCCAAAAAGGTGAATACAGCTGGTATTTGCAGCTGTATTTATTAACTACCCATGACGCCCAGCTGCTGTGCCAAGCTTTATATAGGTACCACCTTCATTCTCCCAATGTATTTGTCATTTGCCTCATTTTACAGATGAAAGTCTATGGCACAGAAAGGTTAAATAACTTGCCCAGAGCCACACAGCTCAGAGTCTGTGCCTTGTCCACTTCAAAGCTTTGAGTTATTATGCAAAGAGAGGCAGTTCATGGGTGACTGGCTTATATGAAATGATACCAGCTCACCTTCCATTTTATTTACTGTGTATTGAATTCAGAGTAGATTTGTTTGGATGACGACATAGTTTTCAAACTGTAATCTGAAATCCACGAAGATAATTCGTGGGTGATATGCCCCTGGTGTTGTTCTCGTCACCCACAGAGCTGCTGGAGACTCTGTGCCCCAGACACGCGCAAGCAGCACCCACTCCCTCACCCTGATCAGGGTGCTTCCCTTGTTGCTGACGCCCCCTCACCTCCCTGCCCACCAAGGCTCTGTCCTTCTTCCTTTTACGACCTCAAGCTGTGAGGCTTTCCTCTCTGCTGCTCCTCTCTGCTCTGAAATCCTAGAGCAACATTTGAACCCTTTTCAATCACCCACAGGTTGCTTAGCATGGGAGTTTTCTGCTGACACGTATGTCCCAACCATGTAGTTCTCCAGAAAATTCCTCGAGGCCTGGCTCTGTGGCTTTATCATCTCACTGTGGTCCTAGTCTAGCACATGCTGTGCCCATAGAAGGTGCTCCATGAGTGTTTGAGGAATACGAGGAAGCTGGAGGAGAGGCGAGAACTCGCATGGCTCTGTGGCATTGCTGTAGCACACAGGTGTGTGTGTGTGTGTGTGTGTGTGTGTGTGTGTGTGTGTGTGTGTGTTTGCACAAGTGTGTGCATGCAGGGACAGAGAGAGGATGGTTTGGGGAAGTGATAGCTTCATTGGTGAACACAATTGCAGCAAATTTAGCCTGCTCTAAAACATCCCTCCACCTAGCAGATAACACTCCTTGCTGTCCCCATGCAGACGACCTGAGGGCTTGCTGAGCCTCTTTTATTTAGTAAGTGGTTTCATTTGGAAACACCCTCCCCAGGCAAACAGCCTCCTCCACAGCTAGCCCACACCCCCCACTAGTGCCTATGTGCTTTCTGGGGGCTTGGTGTTACTTGGAGCTCCCTTTGTACTCAAGGCTGTAACCAGGGATTGATGTTTGGCTCCTTTAATGATTCTAATTACACACAGTTCTCCTTAAAGGGCGAATAGCAATTGTGTGGCCGTAAGGCTATGAGCAATACCTTATCGTTCAAGGAGCCCTGGAGTGTGCAGGGATCTCTCTAAGTGGTCTCGGTAGACCAAGAGATGTAGGGTTCAGTGGAGGTTGCTGGGCTTGTGATTTATCTGAATGTTTGCTTTAAAGTCCGTCCCAAAAAGGTGGTAAGCAGCAGTTTGTGAAAAGCGTATGCCAAAGGCTCTGACGCTGGCACTGGGACTTGTTGACAATAAACCCATCCATCTTACTTTCATACTTGCCTTACCCAGTGTAGCTGGGGTCCCAGGGTGATCCCAGATTGGGATTCCGATGCTTCTGGATGTATCTGATAAATTGGCTAGGAGGGTGAAGGGTTTCATTTGAATGAGGGTTTTGGGCTTGAGGAGAAAGGCTTTTCCAGAAAATGTCAGAAGGGAAACCTCAAGTTGGATGGCAGAGTGCCTGACCCTAAATAACTGACTTCAGGCCTCAGAACAGAGGGGCTGGAGGGGGAAGCCAAAGACATTTCCAGCAGGGGGATGGGAAGCGTAGGCATTGGTGGTCTGCCTTCATAGTCCAGGTGACAGAGGGCTCTCCGTAGCACGGAGAGGAGGGGGTTCTTGTCATTTCCAAGGAGACCACTGGGTTTCCGGGCACTAAGATTCTGGAGATTCCCTCCTGCTGGGGCAGCTCAAGTTCAGTTGCCAGGCCTGGGAGCGGTATTGCTGGCACCACACGCAGAGCAGAAGGCAAGGCCTCCGTGGCTAGCAGGGGCTGTGGGTGCTCCGCTCTTGAGCGGCCTCCACAAGCAGCATGGAACAAAAGAACACAGAGGACTGTCTGTGACAACACACGTGACACCCAGATGCAGCTGGAGGAGGCTCTGAAGAACCCCTCAGGGCCACTACCAGCACAGAGGGGACCTTCGTGTGACTCAGAGAAGGTGTCACTCTGGGCAACAGCAGCCCTACATGTGCAGGGTTTTGTGTACATTTTAAAGGTGTCTTTTCTCGAGTTAAAAATCATCCCAAATTAGGAAATGCCGAAAACCTGTTACAGAGCAATTTCTTAAGGCCGTGTCAGAGCATTGTCTAGTGGGCCTGCTTTGGGGTCGTCTGGGGACTGTGACACTGCTTGACTTGCTGTTTGTTACTGACGGGAGCCCAAGGCTGTAAAGCTAGATGTTAACTTGCAGAAAACTGACAAGATTTCTGCCCAGTCAAGAAAGTAATCTAAAGATGATAATTATTATTTTTTAACCCTTTTGGTTATTAAGCAGTTTTGAATCCGCCTAGCAAACCTATGCCAGTATTGCCCGCCCCCCCGTGACCATAATCAACTATTTTATACCCTCCTTTGAATAGCTTTGTTATCTTTCTGGTTCCCTCATTAAAGAGTTAAATAAATCTTTCATGCTGTTTACTGTATATTTATAGAGGATTTAGGTCTCTATCATTTCAAAACTATACTTTTCCAAGGCAAACACAGGCGTCTCCGAGGGTCCGTGGCTTGACAAGGAGAACCCAGGCTGAATTTCAGCTTCGCTTTGCTACTTCAGCCTGGCACCCTCGGGAAGGGAACAGCCTGCCCAAAGGTGCATGCAGCCCTGTGTGCACTAGAGAGCCGAAATTATACGGACGGGGGCAAGTGCCAGTGAAACGCTGGCCACCACAGTTAGCACAACTCCTCATCTCTTACTTAAGTCACACGTCTTTCTCCAAAGAGCCAAGCTCTATGTATCCTGCATGTGACACGGCCCGGCCCCACAGGGACAGCTAGCATTGCTTCACCCCAGACACTGATGGTAAAATGTGGGAGTGGGCTTGCTTTGGTTCTGCTCTCCCACGGGAAGCCCCAGAGATATGCGTACGTGTTTGAAGTTCCTGAAGGGCACGAACTGGACGATGTCTCGAAGGACAGGCTCTCCCTTGGGTGACCTCAGAATGCCGTCGTCACCATCCAGCATCTGCATGTCGCTGAAGTCAGCGTTGCCCACCCCGACGATGATGACCGACATGGGGAGGTGGGAGGCGTGGACGATGGCCTCCCGGGTGTCGGCCATGTCTGTGATGACGCCGTCGGTGAGGATCAGCAGGATGAAGTATTGCTGCAATTGATTGGAGGCCAGGTGACCATGGGGATGGAGAGGTGGGGGAGACAAGGACAATACCAGTTATGTACCCAGGAGGCTTCTGTGCATACTGACCACTGCGACAGTACTGACAGACTTTTATGGAGTCTGTCTTTTTATGGAGTCTTTTATTGAGTGTTACAGCCCTAACGACTTAAGGTTATGATGAATGGAACTTAAATGCAGGCATACGAATTGTGGGTTAATTCTAATAATCACCTTAGTGGCAGTTACAAAGCACAGGGTAGTGGACAGAGCAGCAGAGGGGAGTCAAGAGGGCCTGGCTTCAAAGACTCACTCTCTGAGTTCCTGGGAAAACTCCTTCCCTCTTCTGGGTCTAAGTCTCTTCATCTGCGAAGTGAGGAATGGGACTAGACCATTTATCCTATCCTCTTCAGCTGTGGGATTTTTCAGAGTCTATGAATGCATTGCCCCATACGATAGTGACTAGCTCCATGTGACTACCGAGCCCTTGAAGTGTGACTAGAGTAACAGGGGAACTGGAATTTTAATTTTATTTCATTTAAATGAATTTAAATTTAACTTTCAAAATGAAGACTCGATTCAGTTATTGGAAACCTCTGAAGGACATCTGGAACCACTCAGGTATGTGAATCTAGCTTCTCAACGATTAACATATAAAATCTAAAGAAAGATCAAGTATTTGTGGTGATGATTTAGCATCCAAATTAAGATGATGTAAGTAAATACACATGGATTTTGAAGACTGAGTACAAAGAAAGAATGTAAAATATTTCATTAATAATTTTTTATACGGAACATATATTAAGATGAGAATATTTTGGTTATATTGGGTTTTGATAAAATGAATTCCCTAGATTCCTTTAACTTTTAAAAATGTGGCCACTAGAGAAATTAAAATTGCATATACGACTCCCATTACATTTCCAGTGGACAGCACTCGTCTAGAGCCTTGCTGGCGGAGGGTGAGGGCTGCAGTCTCTTTCCCCAGAGGCCATGCACCATGGTCTACTTCGAGCGTGCTTGTGGGTGCTCAGCTCCTGTCGCTTCCTGCCTGCAGACTGGCTGGCCCCTTTCCACCTGCATAGGCTGGCAGGTGGCTCATCTGAGATGGAGACTGCCGAAGAGGCTCTGTACGCATCAGCACAGGGAGGGCTCAGGACGTGCTATGGGGTCTGGAGAAGGAAGACTATCAGAGGTCATCACTGCTGCGAGTGGCATCATGATAGCCTCTACTGTGAGATGAGAGAGAAGTAGGGTCCTGGCCTGCCACTCATGCCAATCTACTATAATTTTTGCAATGGGCCCAACATCTACAGGGAATAAATGTGGGATTATGAAGCCATTTCAAGTTGCCATATTTCAAAGAAGAAAGGCTGGATAGAATGGCCACATTCTGAAAACATTGGGTTTTGAGAATCCTACTTAAAAGGTTGCACACAGGCTGGTAGTGTTAAAGGTTCCCACTTCTCTTTGTAAGTCTGAAAAAAACATTTTAGATGACATAACTTGTCAAAAGTGCAACTGGAGAGAATAGAAATTCACACTATGATGAAGACAGCCACATGTTCTACACGCTTTTCATATAGTTTAAAGTAAAGACTATTTCTGTTCCATGTCCATTAATTAACTACCCATCCCTAGTTCTAGCTAACCGACCAATATGCAAGTTCATTTCAGTTGTAGATTTTCATTCATAGCCATGCTCTTTGAGTCTTATACAGTTACAAAAAAAGGTAGCCTGGGAATTTGGAGGAAGATTTCAGTAGGATGACCGCATAGTACAGCTAGGAAGGTGCAGAGAACGGGCAGAAGGAGGCAACTTGGTGGTGGGAGATATGGGGAAGAGGTATAGAATACACCAGAATCATAAATCACCCTTTCCAGGGTATGCCTTGGAAGGCCAGGCAGATGCCACACCTGGATGGAGATTGCTTCTGACCCATAAACAGATGAGCCCTAGTCTTCCTTTCTCCACTTTCCCCAACTGCCACCGATTTGATCTTTGTAGCCCCAAGGGATGGATCATCCCTACCTGCTCGATGCCTCCAGAAACAAAAACACCTGAGAGTCACACTACCACATCAAGAAACTTTAGAGTTGAAATGGTCTAGAGACAGGGTCGGGAAAATATTTTCTGTAAAGGGACAATAACCAATTATTTAGTAATCTCTATCTAACAACCTAAACTTGCTAGCGTAATATGAGAACAGCAATTTCAATACTTAATATGAATGGGCATGGTTGTGTTCTTTTTTTAAAATTGTTTTAATGTTTATTTATTTTTGAGAGACAGAGAGAGAGAGAGAGAGAGAGAGCGAGAGCGGAGGAGGGAAGATAGAGAGGGAGACACAGAATCCGAAGCAGGCTCCAGGTGCCGAGCTATCAGCACAGAGCCCGACGCAGGGCTCGAACTCATGAACCATGAGATCATGACCTGAGCTGAAGTTGGACGCTTAACTGACAGAGCCACCCAGGCGCCCCGATAACATTTTACTGATGGAGTCTGAAGTTTTAAATGTCATATAATTTCCATGTGCCATGAAATTATCATTCTTCTTTTGATTTTTTCAACCATTTAAAAATGTAAAAGCCCTTCTTAGCTTGTAAGCCATTGAAAAACACACTGCAGAATGTAGTTTGTTGACTTTTCATCTAGAGCAGGGATTTTATTTTATTTTTTTAAAGATTTTAATCTTTAAGTAAGCTCTACACCAAACTGGGACTTGAACTCAAAACCCCAAGGCCAAGAGGTGCATGCTCTACCAACTGAGCCAACCAGGAGCCCCTAGAGTAGGGATTCTTAACCTGGGCCTGTGGACTGTTGAAAGATTTCAGATAGTCTGCGAACTTGGGGAAAATTACATTTTTATTTTCACTAACCTCTAACTGAAATTTATCATTATTTCAATTATTAATATAATTAACAAATAAAATTAGTTTTAACTGTACTTGCAACTTCATCACCAATAGAAATCACAGAATATTTTCCTGTTAAATTACAGTGACTGCAAATATCTTACTATATCATTTATATCAATACTACTTAGAAATTACAGAATTATTAGACTAGTTACTAGTTCTTATAATTTAATGTTAATAAAAGAAGCATTTTATTACTATATTTATCATGCTTCTTAGCTACATTTAAAAATGTTTTGCTGAATGCATTTCAATACATTTGGTTTATTTATAATATATATTTTAATTTGTGCATTTAAAAGCATTTCAGAGAAGCGGTCCACGGGCTTCACCAGCTGTTAATGGTACTCCTGGAACAAAACAGGTCTAGAACCCCCGCTCTGAGAAGATTGTCAAGATTTTAGAATCTGATCCTTCCAGGTTCAATCTAGCTAAAAGTAACAGGCTGCACATTGCTGGATCGAAATCCTGATGGAAATTTCCAATGAAGAAAGCAGTAGCAGTTACTTCCCAAGTCATGCTAGGAAAATGCTCACAGATGAAACATTATAGTCTTTGAATGAACTGGGGTCTTTAGATAGGCGGGGATTTTTTTTTTTATTCTACAAGGGTTCCACAAAACCGAGAAGGAAATCTGACAGCCATAGATGCCCTGTACAACTTGCCCAAGAGGCTCAAGGTTAGGACCTTCAGCTATCAGTGATAACAAGGGGCCCTGGACCATACGCTGTTCAAAGAACAGGGAAAATCTCTGGGGAAAAACACCAGTGTTTCTGGCCTACAGGGTAAATTATCTGAGGTTGTGTGGATTAGATACTTCCTTCACCGATTCCTGACATGTCCTTTCAAAGCAGACACGCCTGTCCTTGGGGGAGTGAGTCATGGCCAAAAACTCACACTGGCTTTAATCAGGCCCGAATCCAGACCCATGTCAGCCCTATTCTCTTTTTATTCTTGTGGGTCCTGGTTTGCTAGAGGGCCTGGGATCATTCAGTTTTTAAACTGGGCTGTAGGGAGCTCTGGGGATATCTTGTCTGCTCTTGGGGATAAAGGAAGTAAAGGCGAACAGACAAGTTTGAACCTCATTCCTTAGCCCAGATTTAGCAAGAATGGTCTATTTTCTTAAAATCCATTTTATATGTTGGACTTCTGAGCAAGGTATCATTTGAAGAATTTGAGTTTGAAGTTTGAGATTGAAAAAAAGTTAAAAAAAAGAAAATGAAATACTGATCCTGTCGAACCCTTATTTGTAAATCTTGTATCTGTGAGGATTCAGATTTTCTCCATGGCCTCTGTGGGTTTGGCAAGATGGAGGCGCCATTGACTCTGAGAAGTACAATTTTCAGAAGAATGTTGCGGAGGAAAGTCTGGCTGGTATAGGTGGATCGAGATAGTGAGGTAGATTCTGCTTTTGCTTTAAAGGAAAGTAAAGTAAGGGACAGTAGCTAAAGGGTAAAGTGGAGTCAAGGGAGAGATTGTAATTCAAACAGAGATTATAGCCTGTTTTATTTGCTAATGGAAATAAGTCTTCAGTAGGAAGGGGAAATAGATGATAAGGAGAGAAGGGGAACATAACTGCTGGACCAATGTCCTTGGATAACTGAGAGGGGATGTGCTCCCGGACACAAGACAAGAGGTTGACATCAGGTACCAGCATGGCCCTCCATCTATTCTAATATGAGGAAGGCTGAGAACCCGGGCACGTAGGTTGGGTGAGTTCATGTCAGGAGATGAGGGAGTAGCATATAATCTTCTTCACGGAAATGCAGTATCTTGGACCCAGGATAAAACTAGAGAAAATTTCAGACATTGGCAATATTCTACTAAATTAAGAAAGCTAGAAAGGAAAGATATCAGTATCATTAAAAATGATATATAGAAAAGTTATGGTTATATTCAACTCTAAGATTTTAGGGGAGAAAAAACCAAACTCTTTTCAGCCTTATAGCCTTGGTTTACATTTCTCTTAAGAGAACCATGAACATGGGAATGCAAGCTGGTGCAGCCACTCTGGAAAACAGTATGGAGTTTCCTCAAAAAACTAAAAATAGAACTATCCTACGACCCAGCAATTGCACTACTAGGCATTTATCCAAGGGATACAGGTGTGCTGTTTCGAAGGGACACATGCACCCCCATGTTTATAGCAGCACTATCAACAATAGCAAAAGTATGGAAAGAGCCCAAATGTCCATCGATGGATGAATGGATAAAGAAAATGTGGTACACACACACACACACACACACACACACACACACACACTGGAATATTACTCAGCAATCAAAAAGAATGAAATCTTGCCATTTGCAACTATGTGGATAGAACTGGACAGTATAATGCTAAGTGAAATTAGTCAGTCAGAGAAAGACAAAAATCATATGACTTCACTCATATGATGACTTTAAGAGACAAAACAGATGAACATAAGGGAAGGGAAACAAAAATAATATAAAAACAGGGAGGTGGACAAAACAGAAGAGACTCATAAATATGGAGAACAAACTGAGGGTTACTAGAGGGGTTGTGGGAGGGGGGATGGGCTAAATGGGTAAGGGGCACTAAGGAATCTACTCCTGAAATCATTGTTTCACTATATGCTAACTAATTTGGATGTAAATTAAAAAAAAAAAAGAAAGAAAACCATGAACAGAATGTAAAATAAATCTTTGCCATGATGTTTTGTGTTGCTGCATCTGACCATCAGGGGACAGAATCATCCATTGTTTTACTTCTGTTTTGCTTTGCTTTCATCTGTAGTATGGGTCCATTGGAAAGCAAGCTTATTTTTGGACGATTTTTTTTGCCCCAGGAATATGAGATGAGTGTGACCTGCCGTGGACTATAATAGCTTCCGTTGTGGAGTGTCTCCTGGGTTCAGATAATGTTGCAGACATTTGAGATGTGGCATCTCTGAGCCTCACAATAACCCAGCAGAGTTGGGTATGATTATGTTCATTTTTCAGATGAGGAGACTGAAGGTGGGGGAGGGTGAAGGCACTTGTCCAAACTCATACAAGTAGAAATGTCTGGATTTATTGTCAGAGTGGGATGGGTGCTGTGGCCAATATCCGGGTGAGTGAACATCGTTTAGCAGGAGGACCAGCCCTCTCCTTACCGATGCCTCCTTGGTGTTAGTCTCTTCTGATGCTGACTTGGCAACCTTCTGAATGATGGGGGCGATGTTGGTGGGACCGTAAAGTTGGAGCTTGGGAAGGCAGCTCTGATAGGCTTCCACAACTCCTTGAATTCCTAAGGTGAAATTGGTAAAGATCAGTAGCACTTCAGTATCTCCTTAAATCTATGTGCAATCAAACACACGCAGAAATAAAACATTAAATTGCCCCAATAGTCCTTTTCAATGTCACATTTATGTCGTTAAGGTAAAAAGGAAAACACCACATCACTGGTGGTGTTGCCCACACTCCTGATGAAATCATTCTCTTTAAAGGCTCAAGTCAAAAGCAACCTTTTCCACAAACATTTCCCTAATATCCCACTTTACACAAAAGATTTCATTAGATCTTCACAGCACAATGAAATAGATGTTATACCCCTTTTATAGGTGATGAAACTGAGGCTTGGGAAGGCTAAATGATCTGCCTCAGGTCACAAAGCAAGTGAGTCATAGTCTCAGGATTCAAGCCTGGGTCTTACCTGGCTCTCTCTAAAGGCTGTGCTCTCAGCCACTAGGCAAGTCAGCTTTAATGTTTCTCTAGATTTCACACCACCTGCTGACTCTACTCTGGTCTATATCACCCTTGGCCACCCGTAGGAGTCATGTGTACATCGTGTCATCATCATTATTTAATGGAATATGTTGAGGGATTTCTAGCTGGAAATAATGGAACACTGGCCAAATCCTTTGAGAAGGCTCTTTCTGGCACAAAACCATAAAGCTTCTTGTTTGAAGTCACTGAGGCCATATCCTTTGCCAACATGCTGAAAGTGTCAAATGATTTCCGTGTTTCCCCCTCTCTTTATTCCTTTATACAGGAGGAAGTTGTGAAAAATAAATCCCTAATGAAAACTTGGAAAGCAGAAAGAGGGGTAGCATATCACTGCCCATTGGATAAATTTCTCCCCCATGTTTCTTTGGCAGAGAAATCCAGAAATTACTATCAATATTCTTACTGTAAGCTTAAGACCTCTTCTGCATTCTGTCTTTTAAAAATTTTTTTAAAATGTTTATTTGAGAGAGAGAGAGAGAGAGAGAGAGAGAGAGAGAAAATGAGAATGAGTGGGGGAGGGGCAGAAAGAGAGGGAGACACAGAATCCGATGTAGGCTCTGCACTGTTAGTGCAGAACCTGATGCGGGGCTTGAACTCATGGACCATGAGATCATAACCTGAGCCAAAGTCAGATGCTTAACCAACTGAGCCACCCAAGCACCCCTGCATTCTGTCTTTTATGGCTATTTTTCTACTCTGTTATTATGGCTCTCTGTTGCCTTTGGAGTAGAAAGTTTATTTGGATAGAGAAAGCCTAGCTGTCTGTTGTGGACAGATGACTGTGGATAACTGACACACTGTATCAGAGCAGAGAGACAAAAATAGGAAAGGTACACACGGAAGGGATGTGAGACCTTGGCTTTCTTTTATGTGTGATTTACCTGCACATTCTGGGTTGTCTTCATTAAAGTTGATTGCGAAGTCGTGAGAGACCTAGACACCAATTAAAATTTAAAAAAGGAAGAAAGGAGAATTACAACTTTAATCCAGTAAGGAGGCACTGGGGCTTAGAGTTTGCAAACAAATGCCCATTACATTCATTATGTGTTAAGCAGCAGGAACCATTTTAAGCCTTTACACAATCAATCTGAGATGGAGGGTGAATTCTAAGCTCCCCGTGGAGTTGAGGTGACAGGAAGATTTTCTAGAATCAGATAAATGCTGGCAGGAGGGGAGAATAAGGCATATAAAAGGAATTGAAGAAAAGATTTCAGAAAAATGTAACTCCAAATAGCTTCCAGATAGAACTGGCCATAGGCTGGAGGCTTAGATTTGGCTGAACTCTATTTGGACCCTCAATAACCCAAGCTGTCTGCTCAACATGGTGATGGTTATAAAGGCTCCAGCTAAGCTGTTGACATTTACGAATCATTCTAACATTATATGCAGAAATATAGGGCCAGAGGATTTTCAGATATATACAGGTAAAATGGACTCTATTCCTGGAAAAGTAATAAAGTAATATACTTTTTAAGCTTCCAGCACAAATTCCTCTACCTGGCAAGACCAGGTAGGACCATAAGGTCGAATAAAATATTGTTTACTTTTTTTGTTTCTAAAACCTGATAAAACAAGAGGGATGTTTTGGCATCTGGACATTTTTATTGGATCATTTGGAATTTATATAGAGACTTGCATTTCAAAGGCTATTTCCAAGCATTGACTCTATTAGGTGCTAGAAAATAGGTCACTGTGTGAGAAGACCCCTCTTTTCTTAGTGTTCATGCTAGCCCACATTTCTTTGCCCTGAGAACTTCCAGGAAGTCAGCTGACTTCTAACCATCTTACCTGCTTTACTTACCTTAAGTCTTTCTCAGGCCTCCAGAGCCTGCTTTGCCTGCCTAGCTGAAAGTTTTGGGAAATGAATGTCCCTGGCAAGTAGCCGTTAATCACTCACTGGATGACAGGATATGGTATATCAATACCCCAGCTCCCTTTATCTCTTGGGGTCTGTGTGCACTCTACGTTGTCTTCCTGAAGGCCCCAGAAGAATTCAGCTCTGGCTACCCCAGTGGTAACTGGCTTGTTAGCATACCCTACGTTGACTTCTCCCCATTTTCCCACCCTCTGTTGAGCTTTCCTCCACCTCTCAAATAAACAACTTGCATCCAAATCCTTGTCTCAAGATCTATTCCCAGGAAAGTGCAAACTAAGACACAGGCGCTTGTGGCTCAGTTTCAAGACAAACTCTGAGATTTTATCCTGAAGAAGTAAATTGTGATGACCTTGTAAACTCTCCGGGGGCACCGGGCTGATTGAGACCACCAGTGCCTATTAGAGCAGAGCGGAAATTAGGCACGGCAAAGGGGCATTTGCATGGCTTTGTGAGAGCACAGATGAGGATATGTGAGGGATGCCTGTTAAGACAGCATCCCCATCTGAAGGGGATTGCATCTCTTCAGCTCTGCTAATTCTTGCGTGTGAAATCTCTTAATCTCAGTGTTGTTAGTTCTTTTAGTTTTTCCAGAGAAGCCAGAAATCTGATATTTTACATGAAATTGCTTAATTCTTAAAAAAAAAATTTTTTTTAAACGTTTATTTATTTTTGAGAGACACAGAGAGAGCATGAGCGGGAAGGAAGTAGAGAGAGAGGGAGACACAGAATCTGAAACAGGCTCCAGGCTCTGAGCTGTCAGCACAGAGCCTGACGTGTAGCTCGAACTCACGAACTGTGACATCGTGACCTGAGCCGAAGTCGGACACTTAACTGAGTCACCTAGGCACCCCTGAAATTGCTTAATTCTTAAAAAAAAATTTGTGTCAAATATAATACATTTGTGGCCTGAATAATGTCTACAGGCCACCAGTCAGCAACTCCCAGTCTATGTTCTTCCTCTCCATGTGCTCCATTTCCAACAAAAGCTTCTAGAAGTCGGTAGCCATGCCCAGCAGGGAAGACAGTATGGGGTATAAGGCAAACAAGAAAGAGGACAGGTCAGGGAGACATGCCAGTCCATCCAGTGCTCACTTCAGCAGTATCGGGGAGATGGATTCCCTTTTTACAAAAAGGACACAGAAGGGGAAGGCCCTTGGTCTGACAGCTCTGGTGTGGGAGCAAACGTCAGCATTTTCCTCCTGCCTTGAGACTCAATCGGTAAAAGAGAAACTGATGACTGAGCAGTATTGCTTCCACTTGGCTTGCAGCTCAGAGGAATTGATGAGTTCGGAGCAGGAACCTTGCTGTCTCTCCAAGGCCCTTCCTCCTGTGGGAGCAGAGTTCTCTCTGGAGAGCGTCCCATGGGGGCATCTGGTATACCACAGCACAATGCCTCAGCTCCACTGCAGTGCAAATCTCTCTGCACAACCTTTGTCTTCTTTGTTCATGAGAAATCAGTATCAAATAGGACTCCAGTGTTTACACGGGAAGCTTTCAGCTCCCCAATACTCTAAGCCAGAGTGCTTCTCCTTCAGGACTTCTCTGTATCTCTCTGCCACACAAGCCTGGTGCTCAGAGACTTGGCCTAAGGGATTCTGCAGAAGTCCTCATCATGGACTTTCACAGTTGGCACTGTGATCAATAGGATCTTTCTATAGAGGACACCTGCGTAGATAGGTTCCGAGACAGTGGAGATCAACTTCCTGAGCGTCTTCTCAGTTTCTGACCATACCTACAGGAAGCTCAACAATGGGACACTTCCTGTGCCCCTCTGGGAAGACTCATCCAGAATACCAGGAGATTGTTTCATCGAAAGATAGGCTCCAAGGGGCTAATTTCACTAGTTCTGAAGACCATTTCTGAGTTTTGGGGCTCTACTTACATATTTTTATCAAGGGCCAAAAGAGTGAATTCCTATGAGGGAAACCCAAGTTATTCTTTTTACATCAGAGGATCTATACTCACTCACCGTGTACTCTGGGGGTATCCTGGCACCGAACCCAAAGGCCGGGAACATTTTGTCACTGGAAAAAAAAATAAGTTGCTTCATTTGTTCACCCAATGAGGAAGAAAAACATGAACCTGTGTTACCTTGCTGGGACATTTTACTCTGCCAAATGCTGACTCATGCTCTTGATTATCTGTGGTAACAGGGGATAGTGGCAGCATGGATAATTAAAATCAAGAAGGAATCCCAAAGTTCATTACAGTCATTAGTCTGCAATTTCTTCCAATAACTTTTTGCTAGATTTGATACTGAAGAATAATGGTCCAGGATTTCCTCACCTCCCCAAGCCTACTTTTCTGTCTTTGAAAAGTGATCATGAATTAGGTAACTCCAATGGTTGACTGTGTTAGGGTTTTTCATATATATAATCTTATAAAATCTTTCTAGGGAGAGATCATTATTCTCATTTTACAGGTGGGGAAATGTCTTGGGAGGTAAAGTGACTTGTTCAAGATCAGGCTGCTGGTTAGAGCCAGGGTTCAAATCCAGACAAGTCTAAGCCAAAAGGGGATATTTAAAAGCAACAGGAAGCTTAGAAGGCTGGCTAATTGACAGAGCTTGGTTCCATCTACAGGACTCATTTTGCCCATTATTTTATTTCATACAAACAAGGATAAATTATTTACATGTCTTTTCATGTCTTCTGAATGCAAAGGGATGCTGTTTTTTGGTATTAATATCTTTACATCTGCCACTGCCTCTCTGTCCCAAACTGCCCCTTGCCCCTCTCTTCAGCATAATACTTGCCACAGAGTGTGTGCTCCATAAATATTTAATGAAAAGATAGCCCATGAATTGAATCATGGCTTGGTTTCTCTTAGGCATATTGAAATTTCTCTCTTTAATTTATTCATTCACATATGTTATACCTTACCTCATACTTTACTGTACTAGATGTGAAATGATGGGGAGAAGAATTAACCTTAATTGGCACATCCAATCTGCCGGGTATGATGCTAGGCAATGTACATGTTTGTTTTAATTCTCACACTACCCTTGAATTTCCACCTACTTATTATTCCTATTTACAGATGAATAAACCAAGTCCCAGAAAGGCTAAGAAAGTGGCCTAAGGTGTTTACCAGGGAGGATCGTGTGATTCTAAAGCCCGTGCCTTTTCTGTTGTCCCATTATACTTTAATGATTATATATAGCATTAAATGTGATTTCCTTCTGGCACTTCCTTCTGGCACTAACTGATCCCCTGACCAGACAACAGGTAAGACTCTCTTTAGGCAAATTTTGTGGGGTTCTGGAGTATTGCTCTCAGCAGAGGAATGTTCTTCTCATGCCATCTACCTTTTACTTTTCCATTAAATATACCACCAAGATTTGTTCTTGGAACAATTCCTACATTTCTCAGTTCTTTGCAGAGTTAGTCAAGGAGAAAAGGAAACTCATTAGGGCTCACTGTCCCTGAATGGCTCCATCAATAAGAGGGGACCCCCCCTCCCCACAAGGCTGACAGAGAAGTCAAAGTACCAAAGCCAGATCTTCACCCACCACCAACTGCCAGATTTAGAGGTCATTAGTAGCCAATGATGGCTTTGATAAAACTTCACCAAAATGAGCCAATTTGAGCAAGGTTGGGTAGGAGATATGAGGAAGCCATCATTCTTTGAAATTAGTCAAATTCTCCAGAAAATCACCAGCTCTCCCTTTTCCTCACTGTTGTGTAGATATGGGCTTTGTGGTGCACTGCATCTAGCAGGTAGCAGAAAAGGTATTAATACTGATATATAGAAAAACACAACAGTTTATAAAGGATTAGCCACAGCTCTGAGAAAAAAATACTTCTGGTCCTTGGAAATACTGAAATACTTTGCCACAGTAATCCCCCCCCCTGCCCCGCCCCCTTAACCAAGACAAGGGCAGGCAGCTGTGAGAGGGAATCTATGAGGGAGATTTCAGAGGCCCTTTCAGGGTAAGTAGGTATGGAAGAACACTTTCTGGGTTGGAGAAGGGGTCCTGGTTCTTCCAACCCAGAGATAGCTCCGAAAAGTCAAAACAGAAACCTAGAAGGTTCCATACCTTTTATTTTTTTCTTTGAGGAGTTCGGGAAGGGCGAGATCTAATATTCCATCCATTTCTAATCACCAAACCAATGTTCCAGTCTTAAGGATATTCTTTTTATACCTTTCAAGCCACCCTGGGGATTTGAGGTTTGCTGAGCATGATGCACTGTTATGTAATTGAGTTTTAAGAGCAGGGAGGCAGGGAAAACACCTCACTTACAAGAGGAATAATTAATAACCCAGGAGGGCATCAATTCTCTGAAGTTAGCCACCACGAAGACTCTAACTAACAAACATACCAAAGAAAAACTTTCAAGCATAAGCACAATAGATTTACACTTCCATTCTTCCTGATTAAAAAATAAAACTAGTCAGAGAGGAGTCTTATGCAAGAGGCAAGAGAAGGCAGGTTGAGCACACAAGCAAGCATCCATATGCCAGCACTTCAAAGAACTTGAGATTGGAGTAAAGGGCACTCAGCACTGAGTAAAGGGGCCACTCTGCAACTACTAGGAACATGATTGGTGGAATCTGTGAACTTGGAAAACTCATGAGCATGTTACCACATTGCTAATGGCAATATTCTTACTACCGGAATAGAACAGCATAAAATACAATAAAAGAGCCCATGGTCTTCAGTGGTAATGAGCATGGAGTCCTGAACTTCTTAGGGAATGACTGATGGTTAAAGGATCTCCAGATGGAAGATTTATTTTCAAACACCATTTTAACCCTCCAGTTAGGGAAGACTTTGAGACAAAGCAAGAGAGTAATAAAAATAAAGACAAATGACCTCATCCATAAGGAAACAGAGACCGACTCAAGGCAAACTGGCATTTCAGAACACCTAGACACTTAATTAAGACTGTTCTCTAAGGCAGTGGTCTTAACACCGGGGTACATGCAAATGCAATGCCCTTCTGGGGATAGTAGGGCATGATTTTATTTATTTATTTTTTTAAGGAAATCAGTATTCAGTTCCTCTGCTCCTATGTAGTCTCTGCTGAAATTGATCTTCTGGGAACAGGTGTAATAGAAAGACCTGCTCTCCATTCACACCTTCCCTTTCACAATTATCCTTCTCCTTACCCATTATGAATCTTAACCACAATGGTGCATTGTTCCTTAGTGTAAAAACTCTGCAGCAGAGAATAAGGGAATGAGGAAACAAATCCTTTTGCAAGTCGGGCAGTTGCCAATTTTTGCTTTAAAAAGCTGTAGAAAGTGCTTATATCAGCTGGTAGATCATTAAAAATACATTGTGGTGATAAACCATTATGTGATTTTTTTCATGTATAACTTAGAGTTGAAAGAAATGAGTAAAACTGCTAGTCAAACTCTTTCCATTACCATGTACTTATTTATAAGAGCAGGTTTTCTTAGTGTTTATATTGGTAAAAAAAATTGGAATAGGACTGAAAGTAGACTCTTCCATTTTAGTAATGGATAGCATTCATCTACAAATTGTAAACTAATTAGGGAAAACCCCTCACTATTTGTTTCATTAAAAGTTTTCATTTTTTATGGGCGATAATTAAATACTGAAATTTCCAATACATTTGTTCTTTTGGTCAATTATGCACTAATAATGATTGTAATAAAAACTCAAACAGAAGATTTTAAAAAATACTTTAAACCTTTTCAACACAGAACATTTTAGAAACTAGATATTTTAAAATTTATATTTGTATTTTTATTATAGAAACGTATGATACAGTGACCAATAAAAGAATTTTGAACCCAAATTTTAATGATACATTAGGATGAAATTCTGTGGGGGAGGGGAGTGAAAATACAAGTTCATGAAAAAAAGAAATAATTAAAATTCTCAACTCCAACTAAAGAGCTTGTTCATGCATTTTTAAAATGGATGATGGATCATATAGCTATGGCATTTACATTCTACTGGATGCATTCACAAGAGTTATGTAAGAGTTTTATTTTTAAATGTTCATATTTACAATACACTAGAATTTCCATTCTTTGCCATTATTTAAACTCATAATGGAAAACATTAGATGTCAATGTTAATGTAAAAATGTGTGAGGTTACACATTTTTATAAAATCATTTTTAGGGGTACATGCTCAAAACCAAAAATTAAAGGTCATTGGTCCAAAATGTCCTTCAGATCTGACACTATAATCCTTTTTCCTTTTGTGTTCAGTTTATTTTTAAACCTAATTAAGACTGTCAAAGATAATAGCCTCTATCGTTTACTGAGTATAACAGGCCGAACATGTGCTAGCTAGCCACTGTACATCTAACCCTTACAACTGCTCCTCAAGGAAAGTTAGAGAAAACTTCCACTTGAAATCAATGACACCAAGGCACATGGAATGTAAACCTCAGAACAGAGGTAGCTGAGCTGGGGTCTGAACCCAGGGTCTATTTGTCGCTGGGACCCCATGCTCTTTCTACAACTCCTGTTGACTCTGCCCTTTGTAGGAGGCTGGTAGGGTCTAACGATTCCGAATAATAAAGATAAGTCCATTCATGTTCTAATAACAACTGAATTTCCCAGAACTTACCATCCTCAGAAGGCCTTCCTTGACTACCTCTTCTCCCACAAAGGATAAAGTCAATCCTTCTCTTTTTATGCACTCCTCGTCTACAGTCAGCTGCCCTGACCAAGCTGGGCTGCGATTTATTTACATGCCCTTTTCTCCCTGAGACTGTGAACCAGCTGGGGGGAAATTATGCTTTGTTAATTTATCTCTGTCCTTACAACACCATGTGAGGTACCTGGCAGCCAATAGGTGCTGCTTGGTCCTTAGCCATTCCATCTGACCCATTCTCTCCCGATTTAACGCTGGGTCTCAACTTGGGACGCCCACTAGAATTAAAAATCCCGATTCCCCAGGATTTACACCAGACTAATAAACCTCTGGAGTGGGGCCCAGGTATCAGCATATTTTAAGACTGCCCGAATGATTCCAATGTGCAGCCAAGGCTGAGAACCACTGACTGGTGTTGGTAGAGTAGAAAAGGTAGAACTGTGACATGAACCTATCTTTGGATTCTAAACCCAGTACCTGTCAGATTGGGTATCAGTTCTAACTTTGCCTCCTAGCACACCATGGGGGAAGACTCCTGCCTCAGGTGCTGAAACCTCCACCTTATGCTGGGGTGGTCGCATCCAGAAAATGGCAGTCTGTGCTTCCAAGCACCGTATTCAGTATCTATACTCTATCGATAGCAGACAGACCAGCCTTTTATTAGAGGGCATTCCAGGTGGTCAGAGATCCATACCTCTGCTGGGCTCACAGAATGGATGTCACTTGGTCTTGAGCAGCCTGACCAGGATGTTCATAGGAGCTGGACAAGTGCTACAACCAACAGGGAATATATGAGCTTGTGTGTGTGTGTGTGTGTGTGTGTGTGTGTGTGTGTGTATGTGTGTGTACACACATACATGTGTGCATGCTTGGCGACTCAAAGGGGAGGGAATGGGCAGTGTTCTCTCTTTCAGAGGCATAGAGACAGAGTGAGCTGGCAGGACTGTCTTCTGGCCTTAGGACCAGAAATTTGTGGAGAAGCTTCCCCTTCAAGGCACCCTGAGAAGGGCTTTATGCGTCTCCCAAGCTGTTCTACTTCATTGATCACCTCGTAATGACCCCTTAGCAATGACTGTACAAGGCAGAAAGAAAACCCTTGGCTGTCAGAGGCTGGGAGCAATTTCTAAGGCTCATGGGGATTAAAAACCTCTCTGTCTCTGCAGGAGGGGGAACGACGCCTTCTGTCAGTTTTTATTCAAGTGTTTCTTTTGAACATCAACCTTAGTGACTTTGATGTGAGAATAAATTAATTCCAAAGCCCCAACTTGAAATTTCCTGACTCTGCCTGTCTATTGTCTATCCACCCACGCAAAGGAGAAACTGCAGAACCTTGTCAGTTTTCAAGTGAGCGGCTTGCATTACACATTCTTCCAGGGAGTCTCTCAAAAGAGCGCCTGGGCTTTTCAGTTCTTTTCTTCCTTAGGCATTTGCCCCTTTTAATGCTGAGCTGCCTTCTTTATACGTATACGTATACGTATATATGTACATGTATATACGTATACGTATACATATACATGTATAGTTCCACTGAACTGCGGAAACCTGATTTTCCTGGTCAGATGGGCTGATAACTTCACTATTTTCCTTTTAAAATTTTAAAAAGAATCATTTACAGTAATTCTTTATGTAACCCCTAAGGTATAATACCTTACTTTTATGTTGAATCTGTATTTTTGAGTGAATACTAAATGCTCTCCAGGCTTTGCCTGGCTTTTATATTATAAGAGGATAATAGCTCTAAAAGAGGTATGGGTCACTTGGATTGTATCTGCATCCTGCATGTGAAGTAACCAGGAAACAGGAAGTTCAGCGGTTTGTTCCAGATCATCCTGTAAATCTGCTGCAGGACCGTAGCCAAGGCTCTGGGCATTGGCATCTTAGTTTCTGGTCAAACCACCAATTTTCTCTTTGGAATTCGTTATTATACTGCCTTCTCCCCTAGAGTCTGAGTCAATTTTATTATTAAGCAGCATGTATTTATAGTATTGTATCGAGTGCTTTACCTACTTTATCTCTTTTATGAGCATTTCATGATTTAAAATTATTAAGAATCCTGAAGATACATCCTCTCCCTTCTTTCTTGCCTCTTATGTATATACTAAATCATGCACTAAATCATCCATGTGCATGTTAGGAAAAAATGACTGTTTTGGTATCTTGGGTATGGCTGGAGAAGTTTCTGGCAGTGGGGAGGCAATTTGTCAATTTTCTCTCTTCTTGGTAGAACTCTCCATATGATATATACCCTCTCTAGGAATACTCCCTGTATTTGGGCCAAAAGAAATCAGAGCTGAAATTCAAGTTGTCTTCACAGTCGATACCTCGGTTAAGTATAAGAAGTATCACTTTAACAAAGTAATTTAAAATGCTATTGCCCTCTGTTCTAACTATATAAGAGGGCAAGTGTCAGCAAAGGCCTGAGTGTTTAAGGCTGTGTGATTGTACTGGATCTGTTTATTCATTCCCCAACTGCCCTCACACCCAGTTGAGTTATTGAAAATAACCAAGCCGAATGCAGAGATTCACCAGCAGGAGGACACAGATGAGATTTTTCCTATCCCTCTCCTGTTGGTTTCTCTGCACATTCTGGTCACTAGATTGTCTCATCCCCTCTGGTGCCTGGGGCAAGGGGTTTTTAATATACCTACCACTGGTTATGACACTAGAAAGAACAGAAATCATGCTGTCCCATAAAATTTCTCTGAAACTAGAGGACAGAGTCACTTTCTTTATTTTCCTTATTTAAAGGCTCACTTTATTGCTTCTTATTACTAACTAGCCTTGTTTTACAAACACACTAATGACTCAACTGAGATGTATCCATATTTATATTTATATTCGTTCTACCTCAAAGAACCTTCTTGAACATGTGAACAACTTCATCTCAACCTGGAAATACTGGAAAGGCAAAATAAATTCAGTTTAATGTAATTTATGTAAATCACAATTCTCTTGGTGGGAAAGGTCAATATTTACCATCAAGGAAAAATAACTGTAGTACCATTCTGATCTCAAAATCATGTTATCTATATACACATACAAACACACATATACACACACACTTCTGTGGATGGGCACACACATGTGCACGTGGGCAGACACACACCCTCTACTAATGTTACCAATAGCTCTGAAGTCAGTGAAACACAGTGATTAGGAGCTTAAACGGTAGGAGGAAATAGATCTCAGTTCAAATCCTGCCTCAGGCTGAGTGACAGTGCACAGCTTAACCTCCCTGCCCAGCTTTCTTTCCTCTTCTGTTAAACAATACCTACAACATAAGGTATAATGTGAGGGTTAGATTCAAAAATGTCCAATAAACCAGTGCTTCTCAAACTCCAAAGTGCACACAAATCATCTGGGAATCTTGTTAACATGCAGATTCTGATTCAATAGGTCTGGAGTGGGGCTCGGGATTCTAAGTTCCCAGGTGGTGCTATGCTGCTTAGTCCACGGCCCAAACTTTGAGTAGCAAGACCCATTCCGAAACTTCACAAGATGGAAAGTAGTTTTGCAAGCCACATAAGAAAGCTGAGAAAGGATATTTTGGTTTTGGTGACCCAGGTGAGCATGGAATGAACTCAGCTTCTCTAGGTGTGGAGAGGATAAAATTTGGGGTCAAGGTTCTATTCTGTGGCTTCATGAGCCCAGTATGGGTAACTGCTGACTGCACGTCTGTTTTCCTGCCAAGGATCATCCAGGGACCATCAGAACCCACAGAGAGATGATAAGACCTGGGACGACCGGAGGTCTTGTACCTGTCATAGTCTTGGCAAATCTCACCCACAGCCACCAAGGCTTTCAGGTACTCGTTGGGTTGGTAAGGGTGGATGTAGTGCAGGGAACAGCTGTTCCTGGGGTCCCCATTTGAGGCAGTGAAATCTATAGCTACCTGGAAGAGAAAATAGGAGAACAGGGAGGTTTAAAGTGAATGCATCTGGTAGGAATTGTGACCAGCCACACAAAAGACATGGCCAGGGATGGGAAAAGCAGCACATCGCGTACCCTGCCAAGAAGGAAAGTGAGAGAAGTTATTAATCTGGTTGAGGCCATTTCTGTAGTCTTCCATTTTCTTCTCCCCCAATCCCAAAACAGAACTTGAGATTGACACGGAGGTTAGAAAGCCCAGCCACTGCTGATCCACGTTGCCAGGCAGCAAGAGGAAGGATGGAATATCTGCCCCTCAGTTCATAATTCACTAAGAAAAGAGTCCTGTGCTCTTCAGGCAGGACAATTCTGTTTGTGAGGCAGAGGTAAAATCCCTTAAAACTACATTCTGTGTTAAAGATGTGGTCTATAGAAGAATGCCATTGTCATACTTTCGTGTGCAGCCAGTTGCAGAGAGACGTGTTGAAGTGGTTATAATGAATTTTTTGCAAGAAGCAGCTTTGAGTGGGGCATTCAGCGAGAAGTCCTGCCTATACCAGAGAAGAAGCTGAATGCTATGGCATAGTCGGTGGGAAGCAGAAAAGGGAATCCTCTGCCTTGTCACCAAGGAGATATTATCTTTGAACTTCTGAGATTTTTTCTGACCCCTGGCATCATTATCTAAATAAAAGTTGACCCACTTAACACTCTTAACATCAACAAACAACAAAAGGCTCAAGCCTGGAGAGTGCTAAACTGAGAAGAAACATTTCTTCTGGTTTCTAGCATCATTACCATTTAAATAAAAGTTAGCCCAGCAAACACCTCTCAAAAAAACCAAACCAACCAACCAACCAACCAACCAACCAACCAACCAACAAAAAAACTTTAGCTTGGTGGGGGGTAGAGAGAAAGGATGGGGGAATTAAAACAAAAGGAGTTGTAGTAAAAGACAGAGATGTTCCTGTTGTGTCTTTCCTTTCTCTTCAGGGCTCAGCTGAATCCACTTACTAATGACAGAGAGGCTTTATTTTCTCTTATAATCTTGCAGATGGGAAATGCTACATGCATATTATTTGACAACATTCCATTATGACAAATAATTGGAATATTCCATTGGGTTTATTTAGGGTGGATGTTATTTCTGGAAGGACAGAGAAAAGGTGCTTTGTGTTCTGTTTCTGCTTCTGAGAGATCAGCCTATAAGAGTAAGGTTGATAGGGGAAAATGTCAGCCACACCTTATACTGTAATGCTGCAATCCAATCCACATGACTAGAAGAAGAAAAGCAATAGGCTACCAGGAGTTCACTTACACTCCCCCCCCCCTTTTTTTTCATGAAGTTATTTCTTATCATCACTGATTTTGTTTCCCCTTTTCTTCTTCACCTCTCCCAGGATTATGTTGAAAAGAAATTTAAGCAGGATGCAAATTCTATTTTTGGAATAACCAGATGTTTTCAACAAGAGAGTACCAGCTGATAAGATGCTAATACTAATAATGTTTCAAAAGGAAAGGTCACGTGCAGAAAAACTACAAGGTGCTTTCCTACCCCTGAGATGCTCTTACTTTAGATAACAAAGGGGAGAGGACTAGCCCTTGTTAAAACCCTACTCTGTGTCAGACACTGCGCTATCTGCTTTCCAGGTATTATGTTATTTTATTTTCATCAAAGAACTCTGGAAGGCAGAGATTGTTATTCCTTTTCATTGATGAAGACCCTGAGGCCCACAGGTGATGAAATTTCCTGGTGACGGAGCTGGTTTCACACCCCAGTCTATACGGCTCCAAAGGCTTTTCCTCCATTATGCCACTATAGACCCCAAAGAAAACATAAGGCTGTGGCTAACATGCCAAATTGTCACATGGGTATGTTTATGACTATAAAGAATGGAGAGGATTTAGCCTGGAAGTAGGGACACTAGCTACAAGGCAGCTAGAGTAATTTAGGAGAGAATGGCCTTGAATGAACAGCTGTTTATAATCAAAACAGTTGTAAAATGTAGAAATAGGGCAATTAATGTGTGTGTGTGTGTGTGGGTGTGTGTGTGCACGCGCGCACGTGTTTATGATGTTCTTCATCAAGGATCACCACAATCCTTTACCTATGCTTCTTGAGGCTGCAGTTGAAAATTGTCCTGTGTGTTGACTACCTGAGTGTCAAGGGTATTCCATAATGAGAAAAACATGCTGGTGTCTTGATATAAAACCAGAGAGTAAAATCAGGTCTTATAAACACCAGAGGGAGAAAACATCCATAAAGAAAAATGACAGCTCAGGAAACTTAAATGTCCCTTTTATCCTCCCCAGGCATGGGCAAGATCCTCCAAGTATGCAGGCACCAAGTGGCAGCATGCAAGCCCAGATATAACACCCGAATGGGTATGTTGTGTTATGGGAAGAAGTGTGTATAATGTCTGGGTGAACATACACAGATTTTGGCAACAATGCACTTTAAAATAAAGCCACACATCATAGGGTTGGGACCAAGGGAAGGTAAGACTGGTGACGAGGGTGTCAATTCAAGAAGGACTTCATTCCCAGCTGACCCTACATTTGCACAATCTTTAGAGTGATTGCCTCTTTTTAAATTTTGCATTGTAGGCGCCTCTCTACTCTCCTGCTTCTTCATTCTGGCCCTATTTTGTCATTTCATTTCTATCAACTCTTCATCCCCAGGCTTGGAATAATTCTGTTATGCCTAACAAACTAGTGTGGGGCAGAGGTGATGGTGAGAAGGGGATTGTGACCAGAGATATTAAGGATAGAAAATGGGGGCGCCTGGGTGGCGCAGTCGGTTAAGCGTCCGACTTCAGCCAGGTCACGATCTCGCGGTCCGTGAGTTCGAGCCCCACGTCGGGCTCTGGGCTGATGGCTCAGAGCCTGGAGCCTGTTTCTGATTCTGTGTCTCCCTCTCTCTCTGCCCCTCCCCCGTTCATGCTCTGTCTCTCTCTGTCCCAAAAAAATAAATAAACGTTAAAAAAAAAAAAAAAAAAAAAAAAAAAAAAAAAAAAAAAAAAAAAAAAAAAAAAGGATAGAAAATGAACAGGATTTGTTGACCGACTGATGCCAGTTAGAGAAAGGGAGTAGCCATATTTCTTTGGAAATGGAAATGACATCTAGAGGAAAATGGAACCACCTAAAGATCACTGTTAGAAGGTTGGTGTTGGGCTGCCTGCTCTTGGTGGTGCTGTTTAGACATACAAACAAGCCTGATGGAAATTTTAATTTTTTTTTTTTTCTGTAGGCAGACCTTTGCAGGAGGTGGGGGCAGGGCTCCACTTTTCCCATGGGGATGGCCCCAGTATCTGTGACAACCACAGAGGCCATTCTAGCTCTGGAGACTCTGATAGAGCTTTGGGAAAAGGTATGAACTTAAAAATTACATGGTGAAAAAGGAAATAAATCAATGATCCTTACCACCCACCCCTTTCTATAGTTCCCATTCCTCATAACAAAAATATTTTATCATTGACTAGAAAGCAATGGACAGTCTTAAGTACACAGCAGCTGGAAGATTTGTTTCCCTGGCAAGTGATGGTTTCTAAAGTCGCCCTGATGAAGCTGGAGATAAAATATCTCCAGGAGGTGGCCTTCTACCAAGAATTCTCTGTGCTCTTTAAGTTAGCATTAGTGGAAGGAGAACAGAGTGAAAGGTTAGATTTATTTTAAAAAGCAACAGGGAGGCAGTGAAAGACGGGATTAAGTTGAGAAATAAAAGCAAGGAAATGACTGAAAAATGCCAGTTTGTGGAGGTGGCTGCTGACGCCTGCTTCCTGAATGCTGGTGAGCTTGCAGAGCGGCTACGTTTTCATTTTCTGATATGAAGCATTTACGAAAGCCTGTGGTTCTGGTATGTGCTCCAATCTTCCCAGCAGGCGGTCCAAGAATAGGCACCCGCCCGTTGCTCTCCCCTTCTGCCCAGGAGGCCTCGCTCATCATTAAGCAGAGCTGTGGAGCAGCTTTGCAAGACCTTGTAAAGTAGGAATGTGAAATTTTCCCTCCATTGCCACCAAGTCCCCAGTGCAGAGCTGCTTCCTGGAAAAGGCTGGAAGCTAGTGATGAGCATCTATCATTGGACATTTTTAGCTTCCACACAAAACAAGCCCACTCCTCAGATTCCCTTCTCTGCCTGTGATAAACAAGCCATTTGAAACCTCTTGGGTGTTTTCTTTTCTTTTTTTTTAAATTTTTTTTTAACGTTTATTTATTTTTTGAGACAGAGAGAGACAGAGCTTGAATGGGGGAGGGTTAGAGAGAGAGGGAGACACAGAATCGGAAGCAGGCTCCAGGCTCTGAGCCATCAGCCCAGAGCCCCACGCGGGGCTCGAACTCACGGAGCGTGAGATCGTGACCTGAGCCAAAGTCGGACGCTTAACCGACTGAGCCACCCAGGCGCCCCCTCTTGGGTGTTTTCTAAGCAAGGCTGCTGGGAACTAACCTCTGGTTAGTTGCCTAATCTCTCTGCAATCAACGTGCAGTCAACCTTTGCCATATCGTCTGCTGGGGCAAGAGATTTGTTTTTTGCTTGTTTGTTTTATATTTGTATACAATTTGGATCTGTAACAATAAGCCTTGTAGGTGGAGATACCGTTCAGTCTGAACCATTTCTTAATTGACAGATTAAACTCTTGTGCTTTTCTACCTCCTCAAAGAGCCACTGTGGGTAAAGAAATAGGAACCTAGACCTGATGGAAAGGACTCCTGAGGTCACCCCGTTCATTTCCTGCAGACTGCAAAGCATTCCCCTCTTCAACCCAGGGCTCATTCTCTTTTCTCAGAGGTCTATACCAGAGTCCACCAGTGTTTAGTCTGGGATATAAAGATGTAAAACTTAAACTGGGACACAGTGTGGACATGTGTTAGTGTTGGAAAGATTTCCTGAGAAATAGGAATAGCTGGCCACCTTGTAATACGTGTTCTTTTTCTTTAGGCTGAAGGTTAATATGGGAGGAGCCACATTCAGCTTATTATAGCAATATTATATTGCCAAAATGTAGACTACAAAATCAGAGATAAAGGAAA